TCTCATCTCCTCCCTCTCCTCGCCTTCTTCCCTTCTCCTCTCCTTCTTTCCTCTCTCATCATCTCTCTTTCCTCTCTTTCCTTTCCTTTCGTCTCCTCTCCTCCCTCTCTTCCCCTCCCTCCCTTTCCTTCCTCTACAACCTCTCCTTTTCTCTTCTTCTTCTCCCATCCCCTTCCTCATCACCTCTCCTCTCCTTTCTTTCCTCCCCTCTCCTTCTTCCCCTCCTCCCTCTCTTCTTTCCCCTCATCCCCTTCCTTCATCACCTCTCCTCCCTCTCCCTTCTTCTCTCCTCTCATCCCCTTCTTTCATTCACCTCTCTTCTCCTTCCCTGTGCAGTGTACAATGGTGCTGTAAAGTGGAAGCCGTGTAAGCTGTACGGAGCGAGCTGGGATAAGTTTTAATGACACGATCGGATTAAAAAAACGACTTGCTATCTCTCCCTCCTCTTCCTTCTTCTTCTTCTTCTTCTTCTTCTTCTTCTTCTTCTTCTTCTTCTTCTTCTTCTTTTCTTCTTCTTCTTCTTCTTCTTCTCCTTTCTCCTCCTCCTCCTCCTCCTCCTCCTCCTCCTCCTCCTCTTCCTTCCTCCTCCCCCTTCCTCCTCCTCTTCTTCTTCCTCCTCCCTCTCCCTTGTCCGTTTACCATCCTCTTCTCCTCCTCCTCCTCCCCTCCTCCTCTTCTCCTCCTCCCTCTCCTAGTCTGTTTACCATTCTCTTCTTCTCCTCCTCCTCCTCCTCCTCCCCCTCCTCAGCCATTTACCTTCCCCTTCTCCTCCTTCTCCGCCTCTCCTCGTTTCTTGTTTTCAATATCTCGATTTTGTTCCTTAAATTTTTGTTCTCTTACTCAAGATCGTTTTTTTTTCTTTCTTTCTTTCTGTTTCTCTCTCTTTCTTTTTTGGGGTCTCCTGTCTCTGTCTGTCTGTCTATCTCTCTCTCTCTCTCTCTCTCTCTCTCTCTCTCTCTCTTCTCTCTCTCTCTCTCTCTCTCTCTCTCTCTCTCTCTCTCTCTCTCTCTCTCTCTCTCTCTCTCTCTCTCTCTCTCTCTCTCTCTCTCTCTCTCTCTCTCTCTCTCTCTCTCTCTCTCTCTCTCTTATATATCTTTCCTCCTTTTCCTCTTCTTCCCTTCTCCCTGCTTATCGATTGAGCTGCTTTCTTCCTGTTTTCTTTGTCTTTTCCTTTCACTCTTTGTTCCTCCGTTTACCTCCCCTTTCTTCTTTCTTTCTTTTCTCTGTTCTTTCTTCTTCTCCTTTCTCTCTCTCTTGTTCCGGTCGCTCCCCTCCCCCCCCCCCCCTTTCCCCTCACCACTTATCAGTTGACCTTTTTATTTCTTATCCTCCTTATCCTTTCTCTCTCTCTTTCTCTGTTTACATCCTAACTCTTTCTCTCCTCTCTCTCTCTCTCTCTCTCTCTCTCTCTCTCTCTCTCTCTCTCTCTCTCTCTCTCTCTCTCTCTCTCTCTCTCTCTCTCTCTCTCTCTCTCTCTCTCTCTCTCTCTCTCTCTCGCTCTCGCTCTCTCTCTCTTCGTCCGACCGTCCCTCTGCCCCTTTTTTCCTTTGCTATCTCTTCATTCTCCACTTTCTAATCCTTCTCCTCTTCTCCTTTCTTCCATCTCCATTATTCTTTCTTCTTCTTCTTTCTTAATTCTCCATCTCCCTCTCTCATCCATCTTTCTCTTCCTCTTCTTTCCTGTTCTCATTTCTCTCTCTCTCATTCGTTCGTTTTATGCTTTCTTCTATTATTCTTTTCTCTTTTATTCAGTTTTGTCATTATCATATTTGCTGTACTCTTGCTTCTTTCTTTTGTTTCTGTCTTTTTCTTAGTTATCTTAAGTTGTTAATGTTATCGTGATCATGACGATAATGGTAATGATCTTTATTGCTACTACTACTATAAGTATTATTATCATTATCAATGATGTTATGATTATGGTGATCATCATTATTATCATTATTACCATTATCGCTATTATTAGTATTATCATCAATATTATTATTATTATGATTATCATTATCGTCATTATCAGTATTATTATCAGCATTGCCATTATCATGACCCTAATCGTTATGGTTATCACCATCATTGTCATTGTTAGCAGTACCAGTATCATTATCATGAGCATTTATTATCAATATCATTATTACTGTTGATATTGTTGTTGTTGTTGTTGCTGTTGCAGTTGTTATCATTATTGTTACTGTTATTATTATTATTTATCGTTATTGCTATCATTGTTACCATTACTAATACTGTTATTGTTATTATTATTATTGTCAATGAATCTTTATGATAAATGTTGATATCGTTAACATTGCAACTCTTACTTTTCTTCTGTTACTCTCTTAACCTCCTACAAACCCTTCTATATCCCCTTCCCGCCTTTAAACTAAACCATTCAAACCTACAAAACAAAACAAAAAAGAACAGAAAACAACTTTTTTAAAACATGTACTTTCCACACGTACCTCAAGACGAGGCAACTATCTAATCTCTCTCCATTTTCTTCCAGTGTCCCTCCAGGCGGTCGGTTTGGTGCTGTATCCGCTCGGCCTCGGCTCGCCCTTCGCCAGGCTCCAGTGCGGCGACTCAGCCACTGTGTACGCGGCAGGGAACTGTGAGCTCGGGTATGCGTACATGCTGGCCCTCGTTGCTACGGCTCTGGCTGCCTACTGCCCCGTGCTGGCCAGGCTGGTCACTTATAAGGACTACACGGACTATTGGTCGAATTTGAATTATATGTAGAACCTTTTTTTTTTGAGGAGGGGGGGAAGGGGGAGGGGTTAAGAAAGAAAAAAAGTGAAGGGAAAAGGAGTGATGTTAGATGTGTGATGCAAACTTTTGGAAACACATTAAAGTGAAAGGAAGAGAAAATAGACCTCGAGACGTTTCACAGGACGTAAGATTCGAAGAAATGGTTATTCTTAAGTGGACAGAAAAGAAAAGAAAAGAAAAGAAAAAAACTACCAGTGGTCTCAAACGGCTCAGATAAGTTCTCTCCAACTCTCAAGGATGAAGCATGTCGTGTATCCTAGTCTTATTACCTTTCGGGTATGTTGTAAATAAACCGTAATAGTAGAAGTGTACAGCGACGGCGCGAACCCACATGATGTTGGCCATGAGGTCCCAACATCCCACCCGACGCCGTGGGTTTCTCCAGTGGATGTTGTGACTCTACATATTGATTCCTTCCCTCGATGTGACGTCACGAAGGAGCGTTCGCGGAAAATAGATAAACGGTGACGTCATCGCGTTCGTGTACTCGCATGCGGGCGAATGCGTAACATTAGCATGGAAATGAACACTTTGGCTTCCTCGCTTGGACGAACGGGTGACGTCAGCAAGGGTGTATCAGCATCGTTGTGGCTTAATAAAAAAGATAAAAAAAACAATACGACAATGAAAATAGTGACCACAATGAATAAACATTTCCTCTTTTTCTTTTTTTATAAGACGTCTCGAGATACGAAGGAAGAAATCTATTCTGGGAAAAGAAAGACTAAGAAAGACGAAAATCAACTTGCCACGGGATAATGCGGCAGTAAAGATGGAAAGGTCTTTGAATTCTGTGTTTATTACGATCGCTCACAGAAATTCGGACTATCAGGGGACCCGCTTATGAAATGCAAATTGACTCAGAAGACAAGAAAACCCAAAATGATCGTCTTTGCGAAAAACAAACGACATCAAAAGAATCTCGCAAGTCAACAATTTCGCGATGGAAGAAAGAGGCAAAGCAACTGCTGATTGCATTATTATTTTTTTCTTCCTTTTTTTTTTTTTTTTTTTTTTTTTTGGCTTTTTGAAACGGTAATAAAAGACGAATAAAATTGAAACAAATTATTTTTCTGTCTTTCTTTTTTTTTTGAAATGGTAATAAAAGACGAATAAAATTGAAACAGAGGTAGTTTTTTCTTTTTTTTTAATGATATTTAGTGTGTCAATGACTCATTTGTGTATTAGAATTTTATGGCCACTGTGAGATCAAGTGTTAGCCATTTTCAAATTACAAGAAATGAAGAAATTACGAATATATATAAGAATCCATTAATAAAACATGACTACTTGATATGATGTCCAAAATCCCCCTAAAGTATCTATCAAATAAATCCACAATATAAAACATATAAACCATATAAGACATACGATCGATAGAACACAGCAACACAATTGCCATTTTTTTTCTCCAACAAGAATCAACAATTATAAAACAAAGTTACACAGTTAACCTCTTGACATAAACAAACATTTATGTCTTAAAGAAATCTTATATCCATAAAAGTCGTGAACTTGGGAATTTTAGCCTCGAAAATCTGTTAAATTATAGAGACATTGCAGTTTTAGAAACATAAAGGAGATTGTAATTTCAAGTGGATTTAGATTAAAAAGAATTTATCATATATGCTTCTTTTAGGATCAATATTGAAGGCTTGTGCATGAAAATAATGCAGTATACTCAGCTACAGTATATATATCTCAGGCATTTAAAAAAAAATCAAGTGAAGATATCTCAATGATATATTTATTTTGTATATGCCTTTTGGTGTGTAATGAGTACTTCAGGCTATATAAAAAAAATGCGATAATTATATATAAAAAGCTCTTGGTAATTAAAGGGTTAAAAAGGCATTAATCTTATCGAGGCACACGAATAAAAATCCTTTTTCGAAATCACATAAATCTCCTTTTCGAAGACGAAATCCACCTAAACCTTTAATAAATCGACGAATAACACAAACAGACAGATTAATAAATAGAGAAAAAATAAATATCTCACTGTTTTCCCCCTAACAAGAGAAATTAAACTGTAAGGATCATCATTACCTTATTGACTTTGGCTTTCTCGTCCCTAATGCGGAGGAGGAGAATCTGCTCTCATATTTGTGATCCTAATGAGCTCATTAATATTGCCTCATGAATAGCTAATGACTTCGGATGACAATAATTATCAGGTTGGGGCATCAAAGATCGAGAGAGAAATATGTTCACTTATCCGATAAGAAATATGTTCA